GCTTAGAAGAAAAAAGTCTTATTGAAAAAGAAGAAGTTAATTCAGAAATTTTAAAAGAAAAAATTGAAATATCAGAAATAAAAATTCTTAGGAAGAGAATTGAAAGTTTAGAAGAAATGCAGAAATTTATAATAAATAAGATAGAAATGTTAGAATATAATAATAAAGGAAAAGCAATAGAAACAGAAGAACATAGTCAAGGTTTAGAATATAAAGAAAAAGAATATGTTCAAGTAATATGTAATTCAGAAAAGCTTAAAAGTATTAAGGTAAAATGCTATATAAGAATAGGACAGTACGAAATAAAATGTTTAGGATTAATAGACTCAGGATGTAGTAATTGTATAATTAATAAAAAATTAATACCAGAACAATATATAATATATTCAGATAAACCAATAGAAGCACAACAAATGGATGGAGAACTTTATACTTATAAAGAATTATTACAATCAAATAGTAAGATTAGTTTTGAGACAAATTGTGGTAGAAGTATAGAATATACCTTACCAAAAGAATCCGTATGGGTTAGACCTTTAAATATCAAGGATACAGATTTTATTATAGGACTAAGTTTTTTATTAAAAGACAATGGAAGTGTTACAATTACTAAAGATTTCTTACATTTACAAAAACATACCCTATTTACACCAACACAGACCACTTATTTCCCATCAGAGTGCATAGAGAAGCGTTGTGGAAATAGTAGTAATAATTGTAAGTATGAAAAAGAAAGAGAATGTCAATTAATAGAAGAAGATAATTTAGAAGAAATTACAAAAGAAGATGAATTAGAAGACATGGACTTTGGAACTATAGAGTTAATTGATAATGAAAAAATTTATGATATACTAATAACAGAACAAGAAATAAAAAATTTAATATCTAGATTAGAAAAGATGGAAATTATAGGTGAAAATGTTCTAAAATATTGGGAAAAAGATAAAATCCTATGTGAGTTAAAAATAAAAAATCCAGAATACATAATTAAAACTAAGAATATAGAAGCTACAAATTTAGACATAGAAGATTTTAAAACACATATAAAAGAACTCTTAGAATTAGGAGTTATTAGAAAATCAGATAGTCCTCATAGATCAGCAGCTTTTATAGTTAGAAAACATTCAGAAATTGTTAGAGGAAAAAGCAGAATGGTTATCAATTATAAAAGATTAAATGATAATACTATAGATGATGCTTATAACATACCAGACAAGACAGTTTTAATAAATAAAATACAAGACTGTAAAATTTTTAGTAAATTTGATTTAAAATCAGGATTTTGGCAAGTAAAGATGCACCCAGAAAGTATTAAGTGAACAACCTTTACCTGTCCAGAAGGACATTTTGAATTGCTTGTAATGCCATTTGGAATTAAGAATGCACCAAGTATTTTTCAAAGAAAAATGGAAAGTATTTTTAATAGACATAGTAAGTTTGTAATAGTATATATTGATGATATTTTAGTTTTTAGTAAAAATAAACAAGAACATAGAGGACA